GAATTGGGAAAGACATAAAGTGTTTTAATTCCATTACAGTAAAGTTCTCTTTGTTGAGCCGTTCGTTTGTTCTCTCGCTTAGTTGACAGCTTGCCTGTACCGAGACTTATGGCATGTAAATTGCTTAATACTAATACACGAAATTCGATATATATCACTTTATCTAAATATAAATTAATTTTCTCTATTTAAAAATTGTACCGAGTTTCAAGGTAAATGTCTGTAGCGTTGATCAACTGTCCTGGCAGCCTTTAAATTTAAACGATTTCTTCTGTTCTGATACAATTTAATAAAAAATTAATTATATATTTATTTAAAAACAGACTTATCACAATAATTGGTTGAATNGGTGCAATATGTACATATGTTGTTCCAATTCATATTATCGTTTAAAGCTTTTGTAATTGCACGTGAATGGCTTGTCATCCGAATGCACTTTCAGGCGCCGTGTCAAACTGCTCTTATCCGAAAAACTTTTTTTGCAAAATTCGCATTAAAACGGCTTCTCACCCGTGTGAATTCGCATGTGTTTTTGCAAAGCTGATTTATACAAAAATTTCTTATTGCATGTCGTACATTGATGTTTTTTCTCGTTTCAAAAATTTTGTTGCGTAAATAATTAATTAGTGAAAAAATTAAATAAAAATTATTTATTATAATATAAATGATAATTGTATATTAATATACTATGGTAAAATCTATATAATATGTACTTTAGGTACGATACCAGATTAAAATTGAAAGTGTTTTGTTAGGAATTTTTAAAAAAAACCGTAGCCAAATTAAAAGTGTTTTACAAAATAACGGTTATACTCACCATTAATGATTTTAATTTAATTCAAATAGTAATTTGTAGAAACTTTGCCGAAAATGAAAACAACAATGTACGGAAATAATGTTACAGAATTTTATTGTTGTCGAGAATAATTAAATGCGCCTGACTTAAACACTATTATTGCGTTTAAATCAGGCGCATTTAATTATTCTCGGAAATACTCGTATTTTACTTGGGTGAGGTGTATATCTTTAGTTTTTTGATAAAATGTGAATTGGGAAAGACATAAAGTGTTTTAATTCCATTACAGTAAAGTTCTCTTTGTTGAGCCGTTCGTTTGTTCTCTCGCTTAGTTGACAGCTTGCCTGTACCGAGACTTATGGCATGTAAATTGCTTAATACTAATACACGAAATTCGATATATATCACTTTATCTAAATATAAATTAATTTTCTCTATTTAAAAATTGTACCGAGTTTCAAGGTAAATGTCTGTAGCGTTGATCAACTGTCCTGGCAGCCTTTAAATTTAAACGATTTCTTCTGTTCTGATACAATTTAATAAAAAATTAATTATATATTTATTTAAAAACAGACTTATCACAATAATTGGTTGATTCTTGCCTTTTTTTATTATTAAAAAAATATACTTTTTTAAGTCCATGCATTTTGATGCAATGCTGTTAAGAAATCGCAAAGCTACGAGTCAAAACTCTCTACGACAAAACCAATTTGCTACTTTTTTCACTCGGGTTTCAACACCCAATTGTAGACATTTGCCAAATTAAGAACCAGGATTGTGTATGGATCTTTGTCTCTTAAAACACTAAGACTATCTAAGTACCAACCACACACACCTGACATAACTGAGTACAAAACACATACAAATCACATACAATGTGTGACCCCGTTCTATCGTGTTCGTTTTGTCTATAATAATTTTGGTATCTTTAAGATTTATAGGAAAATCTTTTCGCTCTTTGTCTCTCTAGCATATTAAAGCTTTGTTTATATCAAATCTTTATTCTTTTACATTAGTGTAACAGATTGAAACTAACCTTAGAGTACAAATTCTGAGCACAAATGTTCTCTATGACTCTATAACGTTGAAAAAAATTACAGTAATGTGTTTATGCCTTTAATTCGCGTTTTAAAACAACAATATATAAACTCTACGCAATCTGTTCCAATGTTGTTCCAATTCATATCATCGTTTAAAGCTTTTGTAATTGCACGTGAATGGCTTGTCATCCGAATGCACTTCCAGGTGCCGTGTCAAATTGCGCTTATCCGAAAAACTTTTTTGCAAAATTCGCATTCAAACGGCTTCTCACCCGTATGAATTCGCATGTGTTTTTGCATAGCTGATTTATAAAAAAATTTCTTACTGTATGTCGTGCATTGATGTTTTTTCTCGTTTCAAAAGTTTTGTTTAGTAAATAATTAATTAGTGAAAAAATTCAGGAGAACGATAAGTCAAAAAAAAATTATATATATATATATAATTTATATATTTAATTTCACTATTACTTACCAAGTTGTATATTTGATGACAATTGTTGCAATTCAAAATCTTCCAACTATGAAAACATTTAAATTAAATTAAAAAACTTATCACTAAGTAAATTCAATAAAAATTTAACAAACTTACCAAATATATGACAAATATTCCTTGAAGAATAAAGATAAAAATTGCCAGGCAACACATTAAAAAACTCCATCTTCTACATATTGTAAACATCTCCTTACTAAAATATGTAATTAAGAATTTTCAATATAATTCATGGTATTTAATAAATTTCGGTTTGTTTTTTCATTTTGAATTATTCCTTTCAAAAAATATGAAAGTTATTACGTTTAATCGCACAAACTTCCTCTCTCGTGGAAGTTTGACAGTCCTTCACACAACATATGATACATGATTTTAATAGATCCAATAGTAGCTTGCTTACTTGTCGCCCTCTGGCGGTGAAGTTAGGCGTTAGCTACGTTGGCTATTTCTCCCCGGGTGATTGTTATTGGCCCGAGTGGAGTTGGATTGATCCAATAGTAGGACTTCTTTTTAATATGGGAAGTTGGTAGTAATTACGTCAAGTAGTAATTACTAGCGCCAAAAAGAGCCTAGCGGCAAGTGTGGAAACCTGTTAGAAATTTGTATTAACTGAAAGCGAAATAAAAGAGCAGTTTGCTTACATTTTACGTAGATTACGCCGTTTCGATAATTCGCAATTATATGAAAGAATTTTTAAATTATTTTTCACAATTTTATTAATTTAAATATCGAAATGAGTCTATTCCAACCTCAGTTCTAAATATTAAATGAAATAAAGCTTCATACATGTATTATATAATCAAACATTTAATGTATTATTCTTTCATTTTACACTTGAATTTAAACATTTAATAACTAATGGGTACAAAATTTACTTAAAAGGCCACGTAATTTCCAGTTATTGATATAATTATTATATAAGGGCCGTCTATTTATTACGTGTAAAGTTATTGATCACCTTTCTGTTGTTTACAATGGCATATTTTTTAAAAACTCCTCTCGTTTAATTATATGTACTGGACTCCCGACATTGAAGAAATGACTTAAAAAGTCCTGCAAATATTTTCTGATAGTTTATTTACAGAATAGTAAATAGTAAGGTGGTCGTTTCATTTTACGAATATAATATCGGTGCTATGCGATGGGCCTCAAAGCTATCAATGGTTTCTTGCAATCATCGGCGATGGATCGATGTATTTTTAAAACTATTTCCGCCTTGTGGGCACTAAGATGGCCTTATTTAGCAAACCCATTATGAATTATAGTTTCCGGCCAGGCCCACAATTGGGCGGCGGGATGGTGAGAGACGGGGCCCGATGGGCCACCCGCAAAAGTTTCTGGGAATTTTTCGACCCGTTCGGATTCGATCCTGGGTCTAGCAGAGCGGTAGGCTGTTACCTTAGCCTCTCGGCTATTCGGCTGTCGAATGAATCGATGATTATGTTGGCTATAATCTAGACTTTACACTCTTCCGCTGTGCGGGCACTAAGAATGTATATACATACATTTAAGTGTCAAACATGTTCGACCAGATCCCAATGGAGGCAATCGGATGACGAGGGATGGGCCCGACTTATCCGGAACAAACCACCCATTAAAGAGGGCCGGATGGCTTGCTAAAAGAGGCCGTCTTAGTGCACACAAGGCGGANTATAAATATATTATAAATATATTTTGTATATATATATTTATATACATATATAATATATAGCCTATATACGCCTGTTTATATATATAGCAAATGGCGGCAGTAATCGTATTTCACTTGGGTGAGGTCTATATCTTTAGGTTTTTAATAAAATGTGAAATGGGAAAGACATAAAAGTGTTTTAATTTCATTATAGTAAAGTTCGATTTGTTGAGCCGTTCTTTTGTTCTCTCGCTGACGTGACGGCTTGCCTCTACTGAGCGTTATGATATGTAAATTGCTTAATTCTAATACACGAAATTCTATATAAATCACTTTATTTAAATATAAATTAGTTTGCTTCATTTAAATCTAACGCGTGAGAGCGAGTTTACACCGATCTTAATGTTAACATACTACCTTCCCAGTTCTTTCCGATTCTTGTATTGGAACATTCAGTAATCGTTGCTTCTAAAGATGCGCTCTTTCGACACGATCAACATTTTCGAGCGGTCCTCTTCTCTCTTACTTATCGTATGGCGAATGCGTAGAACGTCTAACTGTGGTCATCTCTTGTATGGAGAACTGCGTTGAATCGTATGGCTCTCTATCTGTGTGGACTGCCCCGACTAGTATTGCTATCAGTCCGACATCGTATCGAGAACGCCCCCGAATAGTGGGAAAATTGTCCCTTTTATCCTAGTCGACGGCATACAGCCGGCAAAGTCTCGTGTGCAACCGTTTCTGAATCAACTTAGTACTCATCAGAGAAAGGAAATGAACTTTTTATCAAAGTCGAAAGTTTTTAACATCCATTGATTCGAAAATTTGTTAAAGCTACAAAAATTTAATTTCTATTGAAATTTAAATCGTTCTCTCTCTTCCTAATTTCTTTAGAAATGAACCCTCTTTAATCTGGGTTCTCACAATTATTTTCAGAAATTTTACACCTACAAATTCTGAAAAAATATTTAGACATCATTGAATTTAAATATTAGATGGCGCCACTTTTTTTTTAAATTGGCAGTTAGGACGAGCGAAGTTCAGCAATGCACCTGAATTTCGTGTAGATTTCGGTTAGAAAAATGGCAAAGTATGTTTTTATTATAAGTACTGAATAGATTCAAAATTGTTTTCCGATGAGCTAAGTCTTTTACGAACAAATTGCAGGAGACGTCTCATTTGGTTGTTTAATCGGTGTTCGTTTTTAAGCCATCGTCTTGAGTCGGTTCGTACCTCGCCATTACCAAAAAGAAGAGGAAATAAATAGGTGTAATACACGAATAGTGACGTATTTCTGTTTTCGTTACAGAAAAAAAGTCGACAGAAGTTTTATTTTACTCTGTTGATAACTCACAATTGTTTGTGTCTGTGAAGACAGAGAGGGTGAAGATTGTGGTGTTCTTTCAGCAGTACGACGAAATGAATGCAAGCATTTGGAATTGTCGAACACACAGGCAGGTTAGTCTTTTCGTCGACAGTTTGACTGTCGCCATTATATTTCGACAATCAATAGTCTGAGTATAGATTATTTTAAATTTAATATAATTACCAGTCTTAATAAAAGGAGAAAACCTCGTTGATGATTTCACCAGAAAGAAAGAAGAAAACAGAAGGAACATTTTAACGAAGCGGAAGTGGAGACTTCTCAGGTAACATTTGATGATGTATGGAATTCCCTGGTTTGTGGACTGTGTTAACGAGTATTGTGGTATTTTCCGTGCCTTTCTTGACTGAAGTTTATTAAATTAGTAAGTAGATTTTCACTTTTTTCCTAAGGTAATTTTAAGAACACTTTTCAAGAAACGATTGAGTTTGTATAACTTTTACTTCTGTGATGAAAGCTGTAAAATAGGAAAACCGAAGAGAAGTTAATTCTTCATAAAATACATTTATACCTAATTTTCTTATTTTTAAAATTTACAGATAAAACGAATTTGAATTTATTTCATACGTATAAATATATTGTTCCTAAATAAGAATTCGTTTCATTTTCAGGTTTTAATCCGAGCCGTAATTTTATGACCTGAATATATGTCCAAGGAATAATTTCTAAAATTACTGGTTTAATTTTGAAATATTTAAACTTTACTTAGAAAATAATGTGTAACGATATTCTCGTATATGATTTTATTCGGAATTTTTTATTGCTTTCAGATACACTGCCCGCCAATCAAAAACGTTCCTGTTAACTAAATGAAGAATAGTTTCTAGAAAAACATAAGATTTAGTCGATGGATGTGTTAGACTTCTGTCGTTAACGGAACACTGAAATTGAAGCTAGTGTTGGGAAATCATTACAAGAATATATCAAGAAAGAAAGCATCTTTCATGCGAGTGAAGAAACAGAAAAATCAACGAAGATATTTTAAAATTATTTTTCAAATATATATTTATGTTTTTGCAAAATACACTCCATATAAATTGTTTTCAGAAAAAAATGTATAAATTACAATTGTTATTAATTTGTGATATTGTTTAGTGTGTGGGTAATATGGTTGAATAGTTAGTGTTTCTGGTATAATATTTTCCTTCGTGTAGGTTTAACTTTTAAATTTTATTCAAAGAAAATTACCAGAGAAGAAAGATTCTTTTTCTATCGCATCCTAAATATTAACAGTACTTTTAAAATAATATGGTTTAAATTTAGATATTTGATTAAAATTAATTGAATACAGTTTTGGTCTTTAAACATTGGTTTTTACTACTTTTATTTATCGGATTTTACAGGTTTAAAAATTGAGAAGAGAAACAATGGGAAGTATCAATGTGACAGTTGCAAGAAAACATTCATTTCGAAGCCAGGATTTATATATCATCGAAGGATTCACAGTGGAGAAGGACTCNCGGATTTTACAGGTTTAAAAATTGAGAAGAGAAACAATGGGAAGTATCAATGTGACAGTTGCAAGAAAACATTCATTTCGAAGCCAGGATTTATATATCATCGAAGGATTCACAGTGGAGAAGGACTCTTGTCTTGCAAATTTTGTAATCGTCGGTTCAATCAATCCAGCAATCTTCGTATGCACGTCAACACTCACACCGGAGAAAAATCCTTTACCTGTGATCATTGCAAACAAAGTTTTGCACAAAAAGAATCTCTGATTCGACATCTGCGAACTCACACAGGGGAGAAACCCTTTACCTGTGATCATTGCAAACGGAGTTTTACACACAAAGGAAATCTGGTTCGACATCTGCGAACTCACTGAGGGGAAAAACCCTTTACCTGTGATCATTGCAAACGGAGTTTCGCAGTAAAAAAACCCTGATTGAACATCTCCGAGTTCATACAGGGGAAAAGCCATTCTCGTGTACGTATTGCTTACAAAAGTTCCGTTTTAAAAGTAATTTAAATAATCATATTATCAAATATCATAATAACAATGAATAACGTTATTTGTTATGAAGGAAAATGTTAACAAAAGTATTTATTCGTATTAATATTCGTATTTCGATTTTATTGAATATAAAGAGAAGAAATTTTTGAAGTTTTATTTTTTCATATTGTAACTTTGATATTGTATATAAAGCAATTGCTTTTATGTACCGAAATAAAATAGTTTTGTTGATTAAAAAGTAATTCTACAAATTTGAATCAACATGGTGTAATTTTACTAGTTTATGTACATTTGTCATTGATTAATAGAGAAGAATACGTGATAAGATAGAGAGTGATACAACGCACAGCAGTTTGTAACTATAAAATATGGGTTCTAGCCTTTAAACATTTCTATGTACAATTTTTAATGTCGAACAACGTTAGTTCTACGAGTTTTCCTAGAAATTGAATTTTCATACTTAAAATTCAAAGAAATACAATGTATGGAGAAAAATACAGTACTCATTTGGGGTTTTTTTTTGGTTTTGCTTAAAAATACTAAAGATCAAACAAACTACACGTACTAGTAGTTGCTTCATGAATAACTACACAATGACAAAAATTAGCTGATAAGTCAAAAACCTCTGCGATGGATTTATTATGGTTAAAAGCTACCACAAGTTCTGGACCGCTGGACTGCCGGGTTGGCACTAAGTCAGGATGACACTACAGGAAGTGCACCAAACAATTTTAACAATAACCAATATCCATTTATTAACTATAACCTATTTACAATTAGGCTAAACATAGGCTGTTTACAATTGAAAAGTTGAACATTTGGGCGATCCCTTTATAAGGCTAGTATATTATGTATCTGTCCGCGAGTTTACATAAATTCTTTGACGGATAAGTACATTGTAGAGGATCTGAGGATGTTCTTCGTTCCCAATCGGGTTGAGGACTTGAATTGATGTCACGTCGAATTGATATTTTGAAAGTTTCGATGGATCGCCCTGGAAAGACTTGGTATATTTGGCAAGTTCTTGATATCTTGATATTTGGACTGTTCAGGTGATGAGAGGATCGTCAGAGAAAGGAAAGTCACTTAAGAATCTTCGGTGTCGGTAAGGTATCCGAGCTCTAGTGCAACTTTCAAGGGCGAACTTTCGATAATGACGGATTATCATCGTCCTCGATCCCTCCCTTTTATTGGGAAGTCTTTCTTGTTTTTTGTATTGTCCTTTTTTGGTAATGTTATAGGTCGTGGCAAATAGACGAATTTCGGTTGAAGTTCCGGGTGACCATTCGGAAGATGTGTCACCTTTGAAAGGAAGTGAATGCATTAAATAACGCAGTCATATCCTTCCATCTTTTTATTAATTGTTGAGAAAAATTTATATAGTTTTTTTGCGTTTAACAGAAATTTTAAAACATTACTTGCTTGGTTTATAGCAGGGCTGTGGAGTCGGAGTCAGAGTCGGAATCGTCAAAAAATCCGGCGACTCCGACTCCCTTTTACTAACCAACTTGTTGTGTATATGAAACGAAGTCGGAATCGGATGGTAAGGAAAAGTCGGAGTCGGAGTTGGAGTCGGTACATTTTTACGCGATTCCACAGCCCTGGTTTATATAATTGTGCAAAAGTTTATACTTAAATACAATCTGTACCGCCTAAATAGGGGCTCATTATGTTCAGTATACCCATACTCGCAACTGCATCACAACATACACACGAACTGCTTTCTGGCACTTATAATTATTAACAATAAGCACAAATACTATTACAAATTATATGATATCTATATCTATATATATAAATATCTATATATATATATATATATATATATATAGACATGTATGTCTCTATATNCACAGGGGAGAAACCCTTTACCTGTGATCATTGCAAACGCAGATTCACACAGAAAGGAAATCTGACTGAACATCTGCGAACTCACTCAGCGGAAAAACCCTTCACCTGTGATCATTGCAAACGGAGTTTTACACACAAAGGAAATCTGATTAGACATCTGCGAACTCACGCAGGGAGAAACCCTTTACCTGTGGTCATTGCAAACGAAGTTTCGCAGTGAAAAAAACCCTGATTGAATTTCTCCGAGTTCATACAGGAAAGGCATTCTCGTGTACGTATTGCTTACAAAAGTTCTGTTTTAAAAGTAATTTAAATAATCATATTATCAAATATCATACCAACAATGAATAACGTTATTTGTTATGAAGGAAAATGATAACAAAAGTATTTATTCGTATTAATATTCGTATTTCGATTTTATTGAATATAAAGAGAAGAAATTTTTGAAGTTTTATTTATTTCATATTGTAACTTTGATATTGTATATAAAGCAATTGCTTTTATGTACCGAAAGAAAATAGTTTCGTTGATTAAAAAGTAATTCTACAAATTTGAATCAACATGGTGTAATTTTACTAGTTTATGTACATNTCGTGCAGTTTAGACAGCATATTTAAACATTGTAATGGAGTCTCATTAGTTATATCATTACAGAGTACGGCACAGAATAATTTAATTTCGTCGTATAAATCGTCACCTGTTATATTCTAGTTTTCGCCATTTTTTCAGTGCTAAATCTAATTCTATACAATGCTCTTAAGATTATCCTCGTTCATCGTTTTTAATACTGTATAGGAATGTTGTAAAGAAAACTAAAAATGGCACTGTGCTCTTCGATTTGTTTAAATCTCTCTTCTATAGAGATTATTCCTCGAACTATTATTGTTAAATAATAGTTCGTGTAAAAATTTATTTCGGGAGTATTTGTACATGTATTTCTCCTTTTATCTATATCTATATATATATATATATAGACATGTATGTCTCTATATTTCACTTTTCCGCCAAAACTACACATAGCACGTGAATGGTGTTTGTATGTAGTGGTAGCCCCAAATCTCCATTCATGCATAGGGGTGGTTGCGTCTCGATAGCTATAAGGGTGCGGGAGATATGAGGCTGAAAGTGATTGAAAGTGGCTTTCTATTTCGAATGTTTTGTTCGAATTAAATTCGAACATAAAATTCGAATATTGGTTCGATTATAGAACGATTGTAAACGTTCCAGAAACGTTGAAAATAGTTCGTTTGACTAAACCATCGGTTCCCAATTAGTGGTACGCGTACACCTGGGGGTACTCGAAATTGCATGAAGGGGTACGCGCGGCAATCTAAAATCGCCCGATTTAAAATTTAAATGCATGAGATGAAACAATAAAAAAAAATAATGGTTGGACCATCAAAAATTCGTCAATTTACAACACGATGTGGAATGCACAAATTCGTTTATTTATAACTAAAAACATTCTCGAAATTTCATTGTTAAAAAAATGCATTTGTGACAATACCTAA